AGGACACTTATAGATTTCTAATATCTAATTGGGGTAGTCTATTTGGTGAAGTTCTATGCTAATATATGACGTCACCAAAATCCTTAGGGAGCAGCCAGCCAATAAGAGCTCAGCTCAGGAATTAGCAAAAGATACAGGGTTTGAATAATCATTCTTCAGTGGATTTATTATTTGATGGGGGTGGGGGTGGGTGCTGAGTGCTTGTTTACGCCCGAATACAATGTACTCGATGTAATGTGGCGGCTTTCCGCACCGACTGTTCAATTGTCGTTATTGAAGATGTGTACAGTTCTCATATCAGAAAGACATTACTAGTCTTCAAGTAATAAACAGCACAACAAAAATCTCTTGAAATTCCAGGTAGACCAGTCAGATACTAGCTGTTGCCAAAGACTTGCCCGGATTCAACGGAACACCTTTGAAACTCCAACATCATACTCGAACGTTCCACATTTTCGTTCTTGATGATATAAAAGCTAACAAATGGATTGATATTGATTATCAAATAATTATTAAATGTAAATATAGTCAATGTTAACAATTGAAGAGGATGAATGACAATCCGTATAGATTGATAAAGAAATGAAGAAAAACTTAGCAATCTCTGGGTTAATAGTTAAAAATAAAATTTTACTCAAAAAAATGGTCTACTTTTATTTTATTTAGTGTCACAATGCATTATAAATGGGTTTTAAAAAATATAGGGCGCCCCGCGTCAGGCCCCCACGGGAGGAATCATCAACGATAACAATAGGTTCCAAGGTTCCTTGGCCTCTGGGAATCGCCGCCTGGTGTGTATTTATAGACAACGTAATGCTTGATCACAACTGGATGCTTTAAGTACTTTGCAGGCTATACAGCTATTCCCCCCCCCCCCCCCTATTTCCCAGGCCTTCCCCTCCTTCTACCACTCCGAAACCAGAATAAAGAATCATTTTACGACATGTTTATTCAATGACGTTTATTGACTTAGTTGATATATCTTGTTTAAAAGCCTCCATCCCCAGAGCCTGGTTCAGGTTGGCAAGTGTAGTACACAGGTTTTCCGGCTATACTGTGCTTTGCTTGACATGACAATCCTTCCTTACATCCACATCCATGAAGACTCTATATAACACGGCAAAAAAATATGAACAAACTATTCTAAAGAAAGGGGTTTAGTTTTTCCATTGCCAAAAAAGTTCATTTTGGAACCCTTTAAATTTCCTGTAACTAATTCTGTAAGTCAGTGTTTGTATGCACCAGGTGCAATTGTGCGAAGGGGTGGGCAGATACTGAGCACTATAGGGTAAGTCTACGAGCCCCTGATACTACTTTTCAAATGCTAAGGAGAAGGTACTGTGGAGCAGGAGCACTCTAGAGACGGATTGTCACATACCACATGGGTCCATGAATACACACACGCATGGTTCCGAATGAATCAACCACCCTTTTACCGTACGTCCCCGTGTCACATACCACATGGGTCCATGAATACACACACGCATGGTTCCGAATGAATCAAACACCCTTTTACCGTACGTCCCCCCTCCCCCTCTGTTTCTACATCTTATCATTTCATTGACACCCATCAGTTCCCTTCCATTCATCCACTTATCATCCATCATTTAAGTAACAATGCGCTAAAAGAACTAGGGAGCTCTCCATTGTTCTGCGGCATAGGAAGTTCCCCATGTACGAATGTCTTGGTTTTCACACTGATTATGTATRKARRTGTGGGTAACACATTTTTGAAATAAAATGTGGATAAACTCTATTTTGAAACTAAGTTTCTTTTGTATTAAAAGCTCTTATCCAATCACAAGCACTCAAAACAATAGCCAAAAGATGCTTCTAATTTGCAAGTGTTCCCCACATAGAATTGCCTTAATATTGAAGCTAAAGAAAGCTTTAATTAAAGCGAAAACAGACATTAAATAGAATATTAGAAAATTCCCTAACTTGTGAAATTATAGCAGATTTTCATGTTTTAACCAATGGGATGGATGGATTATACAATGCACAATTAGCACCTTCTTGCATTCCTTTGTCGTTTGCTTCCCTAGTTCTTTTTTTCGGGGCATTACTTAAAGTACTGTGGCACCGTGGACTGTGTACTTACTATCAAGTTACATGATTGGTCCAATCCTCGTTTTGCTGCACAGAACTTGAGTAGATTCACACAGCATTTGTCAGCACCGCACTCGGAATCGTTTTTACACTTTTTCTTTGAAAGAGAAGAATGAAAATTAGTCTCTTCGATGTACTATATACCCGGAGCTCGGAATGAATGAGAATAAGTTTAGCCTGATTGAACCTCTCCACCCTAACGCAATTTGAGACAGGTACAAAATTATAATAGATCATTTGTCGACCTTACAAGATTAGAGGAAATAGCATAACTTAGCTTACATTTTAAGCAGCGTCAAACCTAGCGAAATCATGTACGCCTGCGCAGTGCTAGTCTTTTAAGATATTAAAATCATTAAAATTATTAAAATAATCTTACCCACAAGAATCGTTTTTCCCTTTCTGCAAACGTGATGGCAACCAGGCCAAGTAAAAGTACAACCAAAAACGTCTTCATGGTAAATTTGCGAAGTGTTTTCTGCAAAAGATTATCACTTATTGTACTTTCATCAAATGGTTTCTGTTTTATATGGCCTGTCTCACGTGACCTTGCTATGATAATAAACTAGTCTTTCTATTTGTTCAAGTAGCACAGGTTTATTTGATTTTAAACAGTTGTATTTAAAATAACAATGCAACTATTGTGTAAAGTTTTATTCTTTTTTCAGTGATATAGGTTTGTGAATTGATGGTAAATGTCAGGTATACAAAACGTTTCTTGTTCTCTTTAGGTGTCTGATATTTGCGCAGATGTCGCTATCGAAGGTATTAGTAATGACTCATTAAGTCGGTTCAGCGATATTAAGATGATTATGAGATTTGTCGTGAACAAGCAACAACGTTATACGTGTGGTTTTCTGTTTTTTTGCCCGCTTTCCATGACGAGTAGGATAAAAACGACGTTTCCCAGTCGAATAAGACTGAGTAAAAGATGTTCTAAAAATGCAAAGCGTGGAATGACAAAACTATAAATGAGCAAAGGGAAAAAATGAATGAATACAGGGAATGAATGGATGGAAATAGTATGAATGGATAACTAAATTGATGATATCTCCCCATGCATACTTCAAAGAGCATAGAAATAGTGAATGCATTTGCGTTTTTAAGGAATAATGTATAATTGGAAAGAAATTTATTGCATTGTATTTTATTGTATTACCGAATATCTTTCTTTTGCTATGCGCGTTATACTGTACAGATACGTTGCATGTTTTGAGTCCATAATTTATAAGAACAAGGCCGTTTCGTATAGCCTTCCATGTGCACAAAATATTCCCAAGTGCATTAAAAGTGAAATTTAAAAGCAATTTTATCAGCTCAAGTTCCATACGCAAATTCCGTGCATTTCGATTGTGTGTCAATAAAGAATAAAGGCCACTGAAATTTGAGCTAGAGATAAAAAAGTCAGTGAGCGCAAATTTAAAGAGTAGTGGGAGATTGAGGGATATCAGTAAAACTGGTCAAATGAAACGGCACACTTCCTTCATTTCAAGTGGATTAAAGGGAATTAAAAGAAAAAAAGGCATCATTTTTAGTTTTAAATTCTTTTATTTTCTTTGTATTACATCATATTATGCTGGCGGGAGGCAACGGTAATATTTGAAGGACGCAAAGCAATCGGAAACTTGACAATACAGGCCATCCTCACATCCACATCCATGATAGTCCTAACGAGAAAGAAAGTCTCAGTTGAGTTGTTCATAGATTATAAATCAGACAGCATTCGCTTTAGACTCGCATGAATCATATTGCTCTCAAATCGAAGGTGAATACAGGATTTTTTTAAAGAGGGGACTTGTAGTTTAGGTGGCAAAATGATCCCAAAAGGTTCGCTTTATAATTGGGCTGAAATCATAATAGGAGAGGAAATTTCAAATCTCTCATTCAATCCGAGTTGCAAGAACTCTCCCCTAAGTCGCCAATGCAGGTTAACTATTTTTGCGATATTTACCTTGAAATTGCAAGATTGGTTGATTGCTCTCTTAGGTGCACAGAATCCGATGTATTTGATGCAGCAACGACCTTTGCCACAATCTGCGTCTTTTTCACATGCCTGTAAAACACAAAATGTCTTTCTTGAATGCAAAACAATCATTGTTCATCATGCGCAGCGTGAAACTTCAAAAGATAACAGAGATTCTATTAGAGAAGATATCACAAAAGATGCACAAGAATCAATGCTCTTCTTGGCGAAGTCGTTTTTGGTTTTTGGGACAGGCAATGCCAATTGAGTCATAGTTTTTGCCTTGAACTGTAACATTTGCATTTTTTTAAATAAATAAATATGTCAATTTGCGGTTTGCTCAGTATAAACGACAATGCACTCCAATTCACTCCATTTACTAAATTTCACGCAGTTTTTGCGTAATTTTCATACAGTTTCTTGTTGCAGTTCGTTGGAGGACCACCCTTCCTAACCAACACTAAAACCGCGCCCTATGGACCTCAATTGTTCCAGTTTATTGTAGTTTTTCTTATTCTCCTTTGTACTTTAGAGCAAAAACTTAGAAGAATGAACTGTAAACATGTACAATGTTAGTTATTTTCTGTGGAATTACTTACATCAAACATGCCTCTTTTCTCTTTACTCATAGAGACGACGTAAGCCACCACACAGGACAGAACAATCACACGTAATAATCTCTTCATTTTACGGCAGATTTGGATACAATTCTCGGAGAATAGAATGCTTTCAACAGTAGAAGCGAGAATGAAATGCGATTTTATTTACCATTGAATAACTACGTATACAGAACAGAATGCGTGCGCGCTTTTTTCTTCTTTCATCTTCGAGTTCTTTTCTTCAGTACAATAGGTTTGTGTTTTGGTTGAGAAGCTCTTTTATTTTATCGCAATTCACTTTATTCACAATCTTTTACTCTATTTATACAGGTAATTGTTTCTAGACAGCAAAGTTGAACCAGCTTGGGAACTTCACAAACATACGACTGTCAATGTTTAACAAATAATGACGTTTAAACTTGGTGTGATTCACGAAACCGTAAAACCGACGCGACAATACATGTATCGGTGATTGAGGAGCAGGTGTCCAGGAGGGTACCGTTTCAGCCCAGTTTGAGAGACACTGAACAGACCAACTTGATCTAAAATAACCCTATTTATAATCTTGTGTGGTTTAGAATAATTATCAAATCATTTCAATCAAGGAATAATATTAATTAAGATTAAATTGCTTTATTACTTTACTACCCCCTTGTGGAACATTCTGATTACAATTCGTAACCACCTGAGCCCTCAGACTCGAGGCAGCGGTAGAACTTCAATTTTCCAATAGTCTTGTGAACTCTACACTCGAGACCATCATCACATCCACAGCCATGGAAATTCTGATAATGAATGAAACAGCTATAAATATATTTTTTTTAATAGTATCTATTCCATTCTATTCCAAAGGCAACTCAGTCAGACTGACATCGAAATATATTGAAATGCCTTTGGAATAGAATGGAATAGATACTACTATATATAAAGAGGGTGACAATAAAGTCAATAAACTAGCTAAAAGCTAATAAAGTTGTGGACCTCAAAATAGTAATATAAATTTACAAAATAATATAATAATGGTAGTAATAATGATAATCTTTGATTGAATGCCGCACCGATGATCCTGTGAAGATGATCATTGTGAAATTTGTTTTATCGTGACATCCTGTGAAGATGATCATTGTGAAATTTGTTTTATCGTGACATTGTGATCAATGTTGTGATCAAATCATCAAATTGAGCGTGATGCAGTTTTTCCAGGCATGCATTTGTTTGTCAGCCGCACTCCCTTGCAGTCTAGTGGCCTTATAGTAATCAAAAAATTGAATCAGCGATGAATCAGCACTAAGAACGCAAAGGTAGTAGTGTTATCTGCTTACCAAAAAGTTGCAGGACTGGTTGAGACCTCGTTTAGGGAAGCAGAATTTCTTGATGAGAAGATATCTAGCGCAACACCTTCCTGGTCCACAATCACTTTCGGTTCTGCATCCCTACAATCATAGGGTGGATTTATTCGTCTTTCTATCAACACACACAACTCAATTTTTCCAAGAGTTGTACAGTTTTTTTTTCGGTGCTCGGCATTTCTTTCGATATTTCCCTTGTCTCCTCTCATGGTTTCGCTCTATATTTTCCTCTTCTCTCATCCTTGTGTAAAACTCCACTTTCTATCAAATCCCCTAAACCTTTCAATTTTTGGGTAAATCTAACTAATTTGAACCAGTACGTATAGCACTACAACTAAAGAGAATAAATCAAAATCACAATTTGTTTTTCGTGCCCCTTTGCGATTTGAAGAGGGGAAAACTACCGACTCTCCACAGAAAAAAAAACCCTTTTATTTCTCGACTTTGATACTTACTTTTAGGAAGAATCTTTTGTCTACATCTTCTGCTTTTAAAAAGGCTACGAGAGCCAATGAACATAGTAAACCAACAATAATACGACCCATCAGGACACGTCAGTGTAGTAGTATAGGAGTGAGATCGAACTGGGACACCAGTAGAATCACAGCCGATTTGGGTTTGGCTCTTCAACTATACTTGACTTGTCATATGCATGATTTCCTTAGGTTTTTGCGCATTTCAATATCTAATGCAAACAAAATATACTTGGTAGATTTGCGCAGTTTGACTGATTCTATTCAGCTGTTAAGAGTGTCGGAGAGATTTATTTGTCAGTCGCTTTTGGGATAAAATCTCTTAATGGGAAGTTGATACAGCGACTTGACTAGTTTCGCATTAAAGACCTATTATAGATGTGGAAAATTAAATTGTTTACCATCCCATTTAAAGAACAGGCTTGTATGGCTAACGAACGTTTGTGTTTTACCAACTCAGGAAAAAGTTACTGCATGCCAGATTTTTGTTTGCGAAAAATGATAAATGTTGCTTTGTTCAATGTTCAGTCAGAACGAGTGCCATGCAGATTCTATTTCTCCTTTCTTTTAGGTTTGTCGATAATGTTCTACATCTACATCCCTCGACGAAATTTCTATCACGTGACTTGTTCTTATCGCATGATTTTCTTCCGAAGTTGATTCGCCAATCACAAATCAGATACCCCAGCCAATCAAATTTGATGTTTCCTGAGCGACCCGGCCCGACCCTCGACAAATCTTTTCACCTTTTTACAAACGAATTTATGGGCTGAAACAATTGCATTTTTCTAAAGTTTGAAGAGAACCTTAGGTGTAAAACATCGTGAAAGAGTTCAGAATGTGCTACTTGAGACAAAAGACTGAAAATTTCACGAAAAACTGAAGGTAAAAAGCTCTGTATAAGTTAAGTAACTTAATTTAAGTTTGACTTGCTGTGAAAGCGTCAACTGAAAACGAATTCAGTAGTTGTGCCATTAGAACAACCGATAGATCGGCATTAATGAGGAAAAGTAGGTAATTGTCAGGATATTTTGATGTTTTTTTCAAAATAAACGATTAATTGTAGCATTGAAGATTTTGCTCATACGGCCCACCAAAGAAATTCAACCGTCTCAGACATTCTTAATTAAGCTTAAGTTAAGCTATCTACTTAATCTTCAGTCTTGAATTTATGCAAAGTCTTTTTAAAGCTTAAAAGCTTATATTGTCATGATTACTATATCCCTGTGTAGTTCCGACGCACTGGTTCTAAAAGCTCACCTTTCGTCTTGATTCAGAGTATGACCGATCTCTAGGATATCAGTCCGCTTCTCTCTTGGTTGACAATAGTTGTGTTGCGTTGCACCAAATGTTGAGTTCACTTCTTGTGATTTGCTGGATATTTTCCTATTTCTGCATCTTCTGGATTTGAATCAATAAGAAATCACAAACAAAAACTATAAGTTGTCAAATATACAGTGACAAGTATATGTCAAAATAAAATGATGTATTAACACCATGTTTTGTTAGCAGAGTCTGTTTGTGCTTGGATTCACAGCTTTCAGACCGTTCATCTTCGTTTTACAACTTTTAAAAAGTAAGTAAACTTCCCACTGATTTATTGCAGTGCAGATACTGAATGCTAAACGTAGTTTTATATGGACATATTTCGTCAAAAATCTATCCATTCCATAGAGTTTCCTCTTGGAAATAATATGCATGTTTTGGAGTCATTCTTTGATCGTTGGACAACGAGGTCAAGACAACTCTGTACCCTATGTGCCTTGAAACCTTGAACATCGAGCTCTTTTGAGTTTTGGCATATTCAAATGAAGGTTTGATGAGGAAGTACTGTGTGTGGAGATTTGGTGTGTGCAGCTACTCTATTTACGAATTCTTGAAAGGAAAAACGCTGTTCTTCCACAAAAGAATCTTGCACGATTTAATAGGAAACATTTCAGACTAGAATGAGAGTTTAACAATGTTATACCATTTAGTTGATGCGTCATCTTACTTCACGTCCATCTTCTGGAATGTTTACAATATTATAGCAGCAAACATTCGATGGTCATCGATACTGTCATTTTTTTTGAGTGACAAATTTATCTCCAAGCTGGTGATATTAGAGTTCCCATCAAACAACAGCACCAGATCCTCATCATTCGAGTCACGACATACAAACCGGGTTATCCTATGCTCACAGAAATTCCTCAAGTACTTACAATGAACCTTATGTACAAAACCGATGCCGTTATTTGGGGGGGCAGGCCCCACAACCAAAATATCTATATCCCGGGTCCGCCGACCCTGCTTGTCTTTAATCTCCAAGAAGAAGAATATTTTGACCAAAGAGTGGTTATAGGGGTTATAGAGAGGGTAGAGAGGGCTATAGAGAGTCTTGTCCACATGAAAAAGTTTTCAGCTTTTTTCAGGCGTGGTGCCTCCACGTAGCCTGGCGTTACAAACAGGGAGCCCAATGATATTTTACATGGGACGGCATCAAATGATAAATTTGACGCGTAGACCGGCTGAAAAGTATTTTCCCTGTTTAAAAGACTTGGAGATATTACATCGGACTTCCCTATTGAGGCATATGCCCTAACAACAAGAGCGATTTATTTTCTTTTGCTTGCGTTACACATGACGTCAGTTACAATGCTTGTCACACATTCCAGTGTGCTTCTCTAGCAACGAACTCCGATCGTCTGCACTCAAGGTTGCATGTGTTTTAAATATGTTTATCAAAGTTGTGGTGCTTTAGTTTTCACAAGAATATAACTTGTTCTGACCACAATGTTTGGGTCAAAGCGTTCTGGGATTCCAGTTGCTGGCTCYGGTGTTAAGTCTAGCATTCCTGTWGTCAAAAAGACAACTCGACCAAGCCAAGCTATAAACAACAATGCCAAGTCAAGCATTCCTAGCTCGGCTAAAGGGAAATCAAGCCCTGAACGACGAAGTACTTCTCCTTTGCAGGTACAGCGATCAAGAATTTCAAAGTTGAAGTTARAAGTTTTATTGAAATMCGCACCTTGGATCGTTTTCTGTCGTGTTTTGATAATGAGATGTCAATATCTTTTAATATTTAACGTGTTTATGATTTGATGATTTGTTTGCTTTGTAAAGAACATCAGCACGAAAGATTATATTACAATGAGCAGTATRACATGCATATCGTAAGATGTATATCACATCATTTCAAGGACTCTAGATACAGTGTAATATTATCCATTGGCCCTGAGGCGACAGGCTATCAAACAATCAAAGTTGTTTCGAGATTTGTTGCGATGTTGGTTCAAAGATCGAAATCAATAGTGCATGGAATTTCAACCACTGCTTTATTCCATTTGTTTCAATGAGATCGCTGGCGTAGTGAGAAGCAAGGAAAAGGATTTTTTTTAAACAGATTTTAATTTCCAAATTTTTAACAACTCTCCTTTCCCCTGCGTCCCCACTCTGGTCAGATTCTTCCAATTGCATGACCTTGAWGTGTATAAAGAAGATTTGAAAATCCTGTACAGGGAAGCTGAAGGGTGTTAACCTGGTTTCAACTGATGAATAAATGAGGTTCCCCTGTATATTGATATAGCCCCCCCTCCAAATAAGTTTTTGCTTCTGCCTTTCCATGAATTGTTATGAAGATGGACAAACTGTTTGATTGGAACTGGATTTGATTGGAAATCTTGAATCTCTCTCGTACAGAGAGAGGGTCCACTTTCAAGGGAAAAAATTATTATTCAAGACATTTTTCTTTCACACAGTAGAATGTTGCTTTATCAGCTAACATGTTGTTCTATTTCTAGGCTTCTAAAATGTCTGATTTATCTGGTGATCCCAAAATCTTAAAGACAAAAATCCTTGACTTACAGCAAAAACTTGATGAGAAGGAAGAAGCTCTGAATGAGCTGAGTAGTAAGTTAGCCATGAAGTCTGAAGAATGTGGAGATTTGATTGAAGAAAGAGACACATTGAGAAAGAGAAATTCTGTTGACCTTCAACAGGTATGGAATTCAACAAATTTATTATGGCATTTCCTCTTATTTATCACTGTTGGCATTATTGAATCATCAAAATTGTTATTCATCTGTGAGACATTGGAAAAAATCATTAGATGAAAATGAGTATGATAACAAGAATATACCCATGCCAAAGTAACCATTATTTAGCATGGGTTTTCTCAAATTGTAACCACAAACTTTTATACAACATTATAAATTTTTTTATATATAATGCACACTCTGATTGACTGATGACCATGTTTATATCAGAGGACAGAGACATGGTTTACTGGCAAAATTTGTTTTTCGCTCGGAAAATGCAGAAAAATTTTATAAAAGAACTATAAAACGGTCACTTGTGTCTGACTGTCCTCTGATATTTAACACGGTGGAAGTTGAAAAGCACTCGAGAAGGAAGAGAAACACTTGCTACGCCCTAAACTTGATTCTCTTGTGGTTTTCAACTCCCACCATGTTTATATCAGAGGACAGAGACATGCACACCGTTTTTTATTTCTTGAATATAATTCTTTATATCATGATAACTGAAGCTAATTTAATTAAAGGCCTTCACTTTAAAGCTTGCACAGAAATAAGTGCCTGTACTGTGATGTTGTTATAGTGTACATGACATTACTGCATGTACGATGCCAGAACACGAACCATTATTTAGCCAGTCACATAATACTGCTAGATGATTATATCATTTCGTACACCAGATTTAAAAAACCCTGTTGTGCATTTTGACAATCAACACTTTTAAGCCAAAGCTAGGAAATATTGTTATTTGAGCACAGACTTTGTAATGATTGAGATATGAAATGACAGGAAACTTCAAAAAGTAATTTGAACTCCTTAAAACTTCTAGTGGATGTTGTTGTTAAAATTCAAACTTTCAAACTAACTTGCTTCGATAAATCAGTTGCATTAACCAGTCACTAACTGACATATTTACTAAGGTAGGGTAATAAGAGCAACAAAAACGTCCAACTTGTCTCGCAACATTGATGCAAAACGAGTTGGAAAGCGATGTTGCTCVTTTTTCTACGCGCGRYCCAACTTGTCTCGCGTCAAAATGGCTTGTTGCAAGTTGAAAAAGTTTGTTGCAGAAAGTAGAAGATGGTTCTACTTTTTGCAACAAAACTTGTAGATGTTGCTCGTATTACTACAGCAACCCAACTTGTCTCGCAGCAAAATGACGTTTAGCGCGCGCAAGCCAACATCAGGTGATGTTTTTAGCCAATAAGAAATCTAAACTAATTCAACTTGCAACAAATTGTTTTGCTGCGAGACAAGTTGGTTCGRTGGTAGTAAAACSRGCAGSATCGCTTTTAAACTTGTTTTMCAGCAATGTTGCGAGACAAGTTGGACGTTTTTGTTGCTCGTATTACCGTARCTTTAAAGTGCCACAGTTTTGTTTTAATAAGCCAATCACATTTCAACTGAGTTGATAGGACGTAAGTGTAGGAACGTCATGATATGATTAGGTAATGGTTTAACTGTAAGGTTGCAAAAGGACAACATGCAAAGTCAAAAATTACTCACAGGTTTTTCCCCTTCTATGTCTATTTTTTGACAAAACACAGTAATTCATCCATTCAGTATTCAGTTCAGATATCTTAGCTATAGCTTCATTATCTTGTAGATCACTAAGGATTACATGGAATTACAAGAAAGATTTAAAGAAGAGCAACGCAAAACTTCTGAAATGGAYAAAAACTACAAAGAGGAGCAAGAGCACCTGCAACTGGAGCTCGATGTATCAAAAGGAGAACATGAACTTGAACTTTCTATGCTTAGAAAAGAAATCATTGACATTAGAAACAAAAGTCAGCAAAGAGGAATACCACTTGATGTCGAGACAGARCGTCTMAAGGATAATTATGAAAGTGAGATTCAATATTTGAAAGATCAGCTGCAAGAGCAAATCACTAAAACTCACGATGCTACGGAGAAATTGGAACAACAGGAATTTGAGCTTCTTGAATTGAATGAAACAAAACGACAATACCAACGGCAAATTGAAGTTATTGCAGCYGAACATCAAGCTGAATTATCAAATATGAAAGCCTTTTATGAAAGTAATAAAGACAAAAATGTTGATGACTCTTTAGAAGACACTCGTAAAGAACATGAAGTATATAWCAAAACGTTGATGGAGCAACATGGTGCAGACGTAGAGAAGCTTAAATTAYAATTAAACGAAGAGAATTCAATAAAAGAGAAAGAAATAGCCTTMCGGAAAGAGTGTGAGGAAAGGATCAAAACATTAGAAGAGGAATTGGCACAGAGCTCTGACAAAAATGTWGCAGATTTAGAGAAACTTCAACAACAACATAAGGAAGACATCGAAAGTTTGAAGATCCACCATGAAAACGAAATCCAGAGAATTAATCTTGAGCAAAAGTCAGAAAGTGAGAAGGATACAAGCAGAAGCTCGGAGAATGAACTCCAGGTAAAGAGACAACTAGAAGCATGTGAGCACGAAATTCGCAGCCTAAAGGCAGAACTGAAGAAGGAACGTTTGGACTTTACAGAAGCTCGAGAAATGTTAGAAAATAACATAACTGACATGGAACAAGAAATGAAAGAAAGAGAAGAAAAAGTGAGATGGGAATTAAAGGAGGAGCACAAGTATGAATTAGAAAARTTAGTCGATGAACACGAACAAGCTTTACAKGAAAAACAAAAAGCACATAAACAAGAAATAGCAGAACTTAAGAAGAACTATGAAGCACAACTTGCTGGATCCAGTGAAGAAGGGAACGCCATAAAAGCCGCTTTAGACCAACAGAATGACATGCACCAAAAAGAACTAGAAGAAATGAGGATGAAATACGATAATGAGATCGAAAATCTCCAAGAAACACTAGAAAGTTTGCAGCTAGAACACGAAGAATTACAAACTGAATACGACCTCGTGGTGAACGATTTAGAGGGTGAACTTGAGACGACGAAACTTAAAGTAAAGGGAGGTCATGACCGAAGAAGGAACTCTCGAGAACTTGTGGAAAGTTTAGGAAAGCTTAAAACCCAAAATGAAGAGCATGTGCAGCACCTTACATCAGAGTTAAAAAAAGCGCAGACAATTATATCTTCTCTGGACAGTGAGATAGCGACGCTGAAAATGAAGGAAAAGACATCTTTAGAACATTTAGAGAAAGTAACAAAACTCGAAGCGCTTGTGAAAGAACTGGAACTTGGTAGTAATAACCAAGATGAACTCATGAAAGAGCTTAGCGAGAGTAAATCATCGAATGAAAAACTTCAGAATGAATTGGATGAAATCCGCGGGGTGAACTTGAAGCTGCAAACGGAAGTAGATGGTTTCAAGAAAGAAAAAGACTCGGAAATTGTCATTTTGGAAAGTCGAATTTCMGAATTAACACAGCAGTCATCTCAATTYGAAAAAGACAAGGAAAACGCACAGCAGCGACTTGAAAAAGAAATTGAAAGATTCGAAAATGAAATGGAAAAACTACGACAAGAAAAAGACCAAGAAATCGGTGAACAAAGGAATGAATACAATGAAAAGATATCTAATTTGGAAAGGTCCAATGGCGAGCTTAAATATGAAAGTGAGCTACTGGAAAGTGAAGTGCAGCAATTACGAGARGAAGTGAATGACTTACGAGCTTCTTCCAAATCAGATTCTCATATCATTGCGAATGAAAATTTTGACATTTGCGCCGAAAGCGTCGAGATGATTGGCAACGAAGCTCCAGAGGCTACCGAGGAATTGAAACATGACCAAAGCATGAAAGCAATTGTGGAAGAATTTGAAAYTAAGATAGAAGAATTGCAGAAACAACTMACCAAAGCAAATCACGAGCTAACGTCGAAAAGCAGTAGACTCGAGTCGTTCACATCGGAGATGAACGTCTTACGTGAGAACCTTGAGAACGAAAGGACAATGGTGCAAAATCTAGAGGACAGGTACCAAAAGGTGRTGCAAAATCGCGATTTAGAAATTGAAAAGATAAGAAAAAAGTACGAAAGCGGAGCTGAGCAATCTGCTTATAAAAGTGCTGACCGCGAAGCTCAGATTAAACAAGAATGCGATAGCCAAGTCGAAACCGTYAGAAGCGAGCTTGAGAATGTTAATGAACAGAATCAGAAGCTTATCATTGAYGTTGATGATTTACGCAGAGAATTAGATGGCCTTGGACAGCAGRTGTTGCAGCAAGATGCCAAACACGTCTCGGAAACTATCAAGCAAGCTGAGGAAAGTCGACAGAAAGTTTCCAATCTCGAGGAAGAGGTAGATAGTTTAAGAGATAGACTGCAGAGTGCTAAGTCAAATCTTGAAGACGAACGATCAGAACACGAACGAAAAGCGAAAGAAACAGAGTTTTTAGTCCAACAGCTGAAACAATCCGAGTCAAACAGCAATCGCGTTCAGGATCTGATCGATGAGGTCCAGAAATTGCAAGATGAAAATCGCTCRCTTCGCTCAGAGCTCACAACCAAYAAAGAAAAGTTCTCCCGACAGATAGAGAAATTCAAGAAGGAAGGTCGAACCAAGACAGCTGAAATCGAAAGCCTTGCTGCTATGGTCGATTCTGAGAGGAATTCYTATAAAGAAAAGATTGAGCAGTTTGAAAATGAGCTAAAGAAGAGAGACGATGAAGTGAAGACMTTGAGTGCAATGCTGGAAAAGGAACAGGCAAACCACGAGCAAACAATACGAGATACCCAAAGACACATTGGTAAACTTACAGATTTGGAAACTAAAAARGATGAATTTGATCGAGAAAACGTTGTGCTGAAGGCAGAAACAAACGAGCTAAAATCAAAGAATGAAGCAATGGAACAAGAAACCATCAAGTTAGAAACAAAGCTAAGAGAAATGAAAGCTGAGCTGTCCAAAGTGAATAAAGACAATGACYATCTCTTGAATCGRAGCAAGAAAATGGCAATGGACGACATGGAGCAAGTTCACAAACTTAACCGTTCGCTTACCCAGGCAGAGATGCACAAAGAAAAACTTCTTGGTGCTGTTGAGAACTCTAAACAAGAACTCCAGAAAACGCAAGAAAAATACCAAAAAACTAAGGATAAATTAAAGACMGTGACTCAAAAATGGCASAAAGATCACAGTAAGTTAGAAGAAATCTTACTGAGCCCTCGAGTTGAGATGGGTCTGCAGACAAGTCTCATTGAACCAGAAGAGCTAGAGACCACGAAGAGTCAGCTATCAAACTCAATAAAAAGAAACGCAATGCTAGAGGAAGAGTTAAAAGGTTCCAAGCAAGGCTTAAGTGAATTTAAAAYTGACATTCAAGCTATGAAACGTGCAAACAACGTCCTAATCAAGCAAAATCAGGTTCTTTACCTTGAAACCGAATCTCTAAAGAAAACTGTGGATGAACTCARTGAAAAAGCTGATCAACTAAGGCAAGTTTCTCTGAAGCTTTCTAGCGACAACGAGAATTTTCAACAAGAAAACAGTACCTTAAAAGAAAAGCTTGAGACGACAGAGTTGCAGCTTAGCCAAATCGAGGGCGAGAGACATTCCTTTGACGCTCTAAGCAAAAGCTCGCAGTTTGAACTCGAAGAGCAGAAATCAACTTGTCAAAAAATCGAGCATGAAAACGATCAGTTGAAAAGCCAAAATGAGTTTCTTTTGTCGCAAGCAAAACGACTGCAAACCAAGGTTGATGAGCTCGAAGGCTGTGAGAAGCAGCTAAAGAATGACTTGTTAGCGAAGGAAGTTGAACTCCTTAAAAAAGAGAAAATGATTTCTGAAGTAAAGTCCAAAAGTGAAGCTCTAATGGTGTCAGACCAAAGCTTGCAGAGTTTACAAAGGGTACCCTCAATCAACGGGTCTTCTGGCCACCTCCATGTCCCTCAAAGTAACGAAACTGAGATAACTGCATCTCAAMCTTTAGAGTCAAGTGTTGCTCCTTTGACGTTCAGTAATGGYAAAGATGGTGATAGTGGCTACGTTGGACTGAAGAGTTACCAGGTAAGGTTACTATACTGTTAAGGTGACATGAGGGCACTGCCCCATGCCCCATGAGAGGTCTTCGTAGGACGTGAAGACAGTGAAACAATAGCTAGTAGRCAGTGTTTAATAGTTTCCGATATTTAATWAAAAAAAGGAAAGCAAGTCTATTTCACATTCTGTAGCGTTTGTTGATCAAAAAAAGAAGAAAAATTAGAAACTCGGAAAGTAGAGGGGAGAAATATAAGTGGGCGTTTCCTTTACACGAGGGTGCATTAATGTGCAATTCCTATGTCCTTTAATTTTTCGACTCGAATGTTGTGGTGGTTCATACTTTTCGTAATAATTCATATACATGTAACTTATCATGAAAAATCTCCATGCAGGTCATTGAATGGGATGTAAAGAAGAAACCTGAATCAGATATTCTGACAAAAACAGCACCTTTTGACACTCCTCCACTGACAAAAATCAGACAACTGGAGTTTGATTCTAGTAATTATCTTGGCTCTGCTTATTGGGACACGATGAATCTTTTAAAAAGTATGAAATCAGGAAAATAGAGATATCACTTCCATAATTGAATGCCACACCTATTCTAGTGGAAAGTCATTTGTAATAATATATTTTTATATTTTTTRAAWTTCTTGTATATTTTAAGAAATCAAAAATTCAAGTCTAGTGCTTGGTATACCTTTTTCAGGATTTTTTAGAATAAAGTGTGTTAACTTTATGTTAGTCGTGGATTGATCATCTTACAATCAATCAATCAATTTGCCAATCAATCAATCAATTGGCCGATCGATCGATCAATCYATCAATCAGGGATATAGGAATCTAATTCTTTTGCTCCTGGATCTGCTATTGAAACCAGCCACCAACACATTTCCATTAACACAAAMCAAAATACAATAAAGCTGACTTCAAATAGAGAAACATGCCTCTTGCATTTACATCGATTGTTTATTCACAATTTTGGTAGATCATATTTATTTGCAGTACGTATAACATAAAATAGCAATCATTTCATATATTCATTTGCATGGAAGCAACAACACTCCATTTTCAAATTTAAAGTGAATAACCYCTCTTTCACAAGGGATTCTCTTGTGCAAAGACCTTGCCAAACACAATAGAGAGCACAAAGCCTGCGTGCAGCCAAATGAAAACTGTTGTTATTTCCCTGAGCTGCGACTATAACCCTGTATTCCTAGAAGGCTTCATCTTCAAGCTTTTTTGGATTACAGTGTAAATTTTTGAAAACAGAGTATTGAACATTGGGTGGACAATACTATTTAGACTCCATCTTGCATCCATTTTTGACATGTAAAGTGAACAAGATTATCATTGTGCATGGCAAACTCAAATGGTCTTTCTGAAACAGCTTGAAAATGTATTGCACTTTTTTCACCTTTTGTAAACCTGGGCCTGGTTATTTTGTCTCCCATACAACTGCATCCTGGTCTAATTAAGAAGCATTACTGGTCTAACTAGCATTATACATTGTATAATATAGTTTCTCTCTGAAACTTTTCCACCAACATACAAATAAACTATAATTATACATCATTGTTCTCCCTATCTATACACCTTATTAGATTCACTTCTCTCGATTTTCCCTCGGCTTGATTGAGAAATTAAAACAAATAAAACGTTTTCAGCAATCAATTTCTTCATCAGCTAACAAGAGCACACTGTATTTTGGAGAAATATTACATTCTTCTGTTTGTTAGCGGGTCGGTATTACATTATTTAGCCAGTTTTTGACATCTTCCATTTCCTACATAAAAGGACATTAAAAATCAAACAAATTTTCTTATCGATTTTTACAATTTTTGGGTTTCTAAATGAGATTATGGCCTATCATTTATAGATGCTAAGTTTGTTATAACCCATATTTTGGTGAATCGTAATACAGGGATTTCATTAAAAGTGGAAATAGCCAATATAGATACCAGCTTCTCATTAACACCTTGCTAATATTTTAATACTCCAGTTTCGAGATCTTTTTGTGCAGTCTTAACCTCGAAAGCATGTAATATATTCTTTTATTCAGCAAAGAATATATTGTAAATACAAACACTCTGTGTGCAAAGAAGACAATAAGCAATTTATGCTTTGAWGCTAAGCTGCCACAAAAGAGAATTCGAAACATTACCTTGGGACTAGATGAGTGTCCTAAATCAGAGTATTTCATGAAAGTGTGTTTTGAGCACATCTTTGATAGAACAGCAGCTGTCATTTCACCYTAWGTAAAGTTGACAACAGGATCGATTTTACCTGAAAATTGGAAAAAGAAATGCTTAATATGTGATATAGATAAATTTGAATATGTTTGAATATGTATGTAGCAACACAATTTTGTGTTGCAAAGCATGATGGTAGTATTGTAGTCCTCACACTTATAGGCCCTAAAATATCTCCCTAAAAGCCGGGTTTTTTTTTCTTTGTAGAAATAGTACAACAACTTCTACTCTTGCCTATAATTAAAAGAAAATATTTAAATGTTTAGGAGCCTTGTCTTAGTGGACATTTTAGTACAAAGACTGCAACTACCATCATGCTTTGCAAAACAAAATGGCATCACTGCACATTGCCTATTCTCTCTCTTCTTGCTTCATGTCTCTACGTGACTTCAAATTTGAATTAGATAAACTGCTGTCAATCAACTTGTGCTTTGGTACCAGCAGCCATATCAATGCCCACAGTTTTGATTAGTAGCAGTGTTGGAGAAAGGAGATAGGTAAATCTGACTGATGGCTTTAGTTGAAAAATTCACATATTATTTGAAAGTCAAGTACAATCATGTAGCCCGAGTGTAACAATGTRGAGACACAGAATTACTATTGACCTACCATGGCATTGTAAAATTGGGGTTGAAGAATTTCCTTTTAAGGCCTGAAAGATTACAAATATATGATTTTTTTATTTAATGCAATCAATATATTATGCAAACTGACTGGTCCAAGACTGTTCATAAAAGTACAACATTTTGATGACATCAAAAAACACAATGTTTTCAAAACAGTACTCTATAATACATTAGCCGACGGCCCTCCCCAATCCTACGCAAGCTATAATACAGCAAAAAGGGTTTTTCCATGGTTTATCAGTGMAATAAAACACTTGAGATYTTCTAAAAAAGGCCACCTTGCTAAATGAAAGGACATTATTAACTGTTATCAAGACCTTTCATCCCTTTATTCTCTACATCTCTCTCTATTCAATGATAAACCACAACAATCAACAATCAATAAGTTGTTTCTTCCAAGTCAAATTCTAGCTATTTTGATGGGTTGCAAATACAACAGCTTGGAACATTTAACACAGAATAAACAACTTTTTATAATKTTTYGGATCATTGCTTGATGAGACTTACTCCAGGAAATGAACCATTAAGGGGAAGCCAAGTACTTAAGGCTAATATTCCTGCCAGTGTTTTTGATGACGTTAAAGCAGAGTACAAACCTATTGCTCCCCCTTGTGAAAATCCCCCTGTTTAAAGGATAGAGCATCAAAAGGTGAAACATGATGGTAGCAAAAAAAAAAAAAAAAAAAAAAAGATGAAAATGTACTATGAATGATGTAAATGAATATCTAGCCTTACCTACAACAATTCTATTTGGTTCAATTCCATTTTTTATTTCTTCTTCAATAAGAGACTGAACTGTAAAAACAAGAAGTAAATAAAGAAATAAAAAAAAATAAAATGAATAAAAAATTGAATTGAAGTTAATGTGCAAAGTTTCTTTTTGAAATTCTTTCTTTTTGTCTCTGTACTCAGATACAAGTTAATGCAAAAAATTGATAAAAACATTGATAAATGAGAAAATTATTGAATAAACTGAGGTTTGAATGAATGGAAAAGGACATCAAATAAATGAACAAATAAGTGGATGAATGAACAAGCGAATGGGATAAGTTGATGAGTGAAAACATGAATAAATGAATTATCTAAACAAATAAATGAATGACAAATAAATGAATAATGGATAAATCAATTAATTTAACTTTTGTTTTTGATGTGTGATCAATAAATCAAGAGCAAAATTTACCATAAGCAGAACTTGCTTTGATTTCTACGTGATCCTCGGCAGTGTTCATTGCTAAAGACTTAATATCAAACCTGTAACATGAAGGGAAAATCCATGATTTATCAAATAAACAAACAAAGAAGCCCAGAAATAAGTAAACCAAACATGTAAGTATGATAAAATCAGTATTTCAAGTGCACCATCCAAAAAACAACTACTAAAGTATAAGTTAGAGTATATGATAGTAGACTACTGTATAGTATAGCTGCAAACTTTATCGGTTTTGTTTTTTTTGGTTTCATCATGGGTTAAATTAATGTTCAGTACTTACTCTTAGACAACACAAGGAAACACAAACTAGCTTTTAACTTTGAACAATTATCATGTTGTTTGTACTATTTGCTTCAGGGACATCAAATAGCATTGCAGTAATAAAGCTATTAGACAACACACTTTACAGTTCCAGACCCAAGACTCTGCACAAAAAAACATACTGCCCTTGACCTTAAAATCTATTTACTTATTTATTGTTTTCACTCTAATGGACTGGTTAATGTTATCCATAAAACTATATAGTTACCAAGCTGGCATTGCCATCCCTGCATTCAGTGTTACCCTCATTGTTTTTCTAGAAAGAAAAAGTCATATTTTTTTTTACTGTCAAAAATCACAATATCCAGTGTAATCCTAGTCTAAAAGATAAACTTACGCTGTCGGACATATGTACTTTACATGCGGTGATTTTATCATTTCAAATGCTTGGCTCCATCCATGTCTGTTTAAAACAAAAAAATTCAATTAGACAAAATAATATCAGGAAATGTTGTATTTTGAAAGGAAAATAGTTTGATCTACTATTACATCATTTTGTCATATTTTGTTTTCAGCTAGATTCAACATATTTCACATCAAATTAACTTCGCTTTTAAAATGTTTGATTTGCCATTTAAAAGAACTGGTAGTATCAGTGGGTTGAAATAAAATCTTTCCTAAATGGTAGAAATTGTACTGTAAGTATTAAAATTAATTAAAAAAAATGCTTTCTGTAAATTTTACTGAGCCATTTAAAGCATGATTCTCGAACTACAATTTTTTGCATTATAAAACCAAAACTCTGACGATTGTGAATAGTTACCCTGTATCGCCAAGACCATGAAGAAATATTACCTGATGACAAAAAATCAAAATAATACATGTCAGCATTTATTGAATGCAAATTACAATAGTCCGAGCAATTAAAGACTTAAGGGTTTTTTGACATTCAACACTRGTAATACATTAATTACTGGCTAAAAGCAAACTTGATCCTGATTGATTAAAATGGAAACCTACAATTCAAGCAGGCATGGTTCTATCAGCCTGAAATTCCTAAAACACTCATCAGAAATAAGCATTCTTCATTACTTTCATTGTATGTAGAGCTCAGATTTTATAGAAAATTATCTGATTTCAGAATGCTTTAATGTTCAATGTTTGATAGAATAGATCAGGTGGCCAAGTCTTGTAAAAGATAAAAACATTCAAAATTATCAAGTTTCCATCATTGACAAATTAGATGTCCATATTTTTCCATGTGCAATGGTACATTTATGGCATTTGACAGACTAATCATCTAGAGTTGACAGTTTTTTTGACGTAAACCAGATTATTCTTTATAATTTAGGAAGAAGGAAATCCTAAAAGGTTTGACACCTCACAT